TTAAAAATCACTTCACTGAGGTTATGAAACACATCACACTTTGCACAAATGGATTAATAATGAAATTAATAGTACACAATATTAATCATTAAATCAATTAAGAAAATGATAAAACCATTATTAATACCAGTACTAAGAAAAAACATTAAAGCACATTTCAACTCTTTTTTCTTCACAGTGTTATACTTCTGGATAAAGAGACATGCAAAGATTAATTCAATAACTTTGAGTATATTGATTATAACCTCTTATAGAAGATTAAATGAGATAACATATATATAGGACTTTGTCCTATTCACTTAAAGAAAATAAAAACACTTTAAAATGATTTTCTTCTTATAAGTGTAAAAAATAAAATCAAAGACAAAGAAAAAACAATAGAAAAGTTTTTTTTTCACCAGGGTGACCTCTACATTATTAATCATGAAATATCTTTAATTGAACATGTTTTAAACATTGAAAACAGCATTTAGTTATTATACAAAATAATAACCATTGCAGGAATGTATGTTAAATTTTATAAGTGGATTGAAGAGAGCCCATGATAGAAACATGAAGTAGAAGACGAGGAGTTTTGAGTCTTACAGGACAGAAGCTCAGAGACTGTGCTGGATGGTACCAGAAGAGGACGCTCATGGACTGTAAACACTGCTGGACCTCCAGCAGAACCAGCACACTGAAACTGAGTGTAAAACAAAAAGAAGGCAAAAATTTGCAGCTTCAGACTTTGCAGTGAGAAGAAGTACAACAGCTTCTATAAAACTGATGGTTTCATTTGCAGTTTAAAGACCTTTTTGTTTTACCAAACATGGAGGTACATGAAAAAACTGGACACTGAGGAGGGACAGAAGACTTGATGACATAGCAGAGGAGGTATGAAATAGGGTTGGGCAATATTGGCAAAAAAATTAATCACTATTAATTGTGGTATTTAGCCGATAACGATTAATTTGACGATTAATCCTCTGGAGTCCCTGGACACACTTATGTCCTGGTCACATGACCAATTTAGTGGGAAACGTTTGCTCATCATAAAAATCTGTTCCAAATTGTGTAAAAATTACAGACTTCAGGCTATATACATCTAATTTTAAATTGTGTTGATAGATAAATAAATTACCGAACTTTATTTTAATGTTCATCATATTTGAAGCAGAGGAGCAGCGAGCGGACTCTGCCTGGTGGCATTAATCGTATTAATCAAGTGCCAAAAAGTAATCGATTAATGTTTTTCTGACGATTAATTGCACACGATACGATTATGCCCAACCCTAGTATGGAAATGGAGAAAGAAAAAAATGGGGTCTGTGGAACGATGATGAACAATTATTATCTTGCCTGCTGCACAAGGATCCACCCCCCAGACCTCAGAGGCCTTTTTAATTTTCAGCCACTGACAGAACCTACAGCAACAAGATGAAGTCAGCAAATAAAGAACCAGGAAGGACATAGACGATTTGTATAAATGGTTTGTCTTCTGATTTACATGTACAATCCCATCTTGTCTGCGTCCCTTTCAGCCAGAGTAATGACGAGAGTCAGATCCAGATTTTAGAATGAGTGATCCCATAGCAGGACATAGAAAATGACCAAAACAATGACACGTGATGTACTCTGCATTATTTTTGACCGTTTTGTTTTTATTACCGGTGTTGTACGAAATTCAGTTCCACTGTGAAAATCTGTTCCTCCTGTGTTGGGGAGGGCTGGATCAGTGGTTAACCAGTAGGGGGAACAGATTTTCACAGGGGAACTGGATTTCGTTCAACACCGGCACAAACAATTGATATTTTAATGTAACACCTAATTGTTTTCTTTTTTTTTTTTTTGCTTCATTTATACATAGTTATGGATTAAACTGTTTATATTTGCAGTCTAAGATGTAAAAGCTATTTTTTGTTTGTTGTTTTCACAGTAAAAAATAAATTTCTTACTCAGATTTTGTGTTTTTGTGTGATTTCAGGTCTATTGTGTTCATACAGTAGTTCAAAAGTAAATAAATAAATAAATAAATAAATAATCTTAAAATACACACAAGAAAATGTGTGTTGAACAAAATGACACCAAACATGACAGGTTAAACCATTTTAGGGTGAACTAAATCAAAAATACTTAATTTTTTTCCCATTCTGGGCATCAGAGGGTTAAAACAGCAGAAATCCACTTTGATCTTAGCTGTTAGTCTTTCTTTCCTGTTGGACTCATTTTAAACTTTTTCTATAAAGCGGGAATGTTCAAAGATGTTCTTATAACCTGAGTTCTGAAAAAGTAAAATATAAAAACAAAAACAAAAAACAGATTGCGATCTGAAAACCACAAACTCTTGTTTCACCAGTCCTGGGCCACGCTGGAGGAATGGATGCAGTACGAGGTTTAGTTTGTTTCAAGACCTTCCCTGATGTCTCGATGGGATCATATGTTGTTCTAAGACCTGGATTTATCCGCAATGATGAACTCTTTCCAGATGTGTATGCTGCCCATGCCGTAGGTGCTAATGCACCCCCATACAAAGAGAGAGGCAAGCTTTTGAATTGTGCACTGATTACAGATGGCTCCTCTGTCCATAATATGGAAAATGTGCTGTTTTTCCCCCCAAAACAAACCACATTTCCAAAGGTTTAGCACTTTTCCTTGGTCTAGTTTTGTCTCGGAGAGAATGGCGGCATTTCTGGACAAATTCTATATTAATTTCATTCAAAAAGAGGCAATGCACAATGAAACATCACTATATAAACACACCATAAAAAAGCCACGGACTTAAAGGGGCAATATTATGTGTTTCTCAGGCATATATTTAAATACTATACCATAATAAAGTATCTATGTCAGCTTCAGCTGTTATTAAAATCCTGTTTTTATGTTTAAATAGAAAAATAAACTTATCTTCTCATCACTTCCTCTTCTAAACGCTTTGAAATTGGCCTCTGTCTCTTTAAGAACCTCCTTCTGCTTCTGTTCAGTCCCGCTCGGTGGGGGGTGCGTGCGCCATGATGCAGTTTACTTGGCATCTGAAAATACATTTCCTCAAAGGTATTTTTAATCTGAAAAGAGCTTCACTGAGTGAGAAATAATGTTGAGAGCTCAGCAGACAGTTAGGTTTCACTTTCACTTTCACCCCAGAGTCTGCAGGAGTCATGGGCAGGGTGTGTGTGTGTGTGTGGGGGGGGGGGCATTATGCCGTGAGGACGCTTGGCTTAAAGCCACATCTGAGGAGTGTTTCTGGTACAAAAAGGCGTTTCTGGTCCCCACCTGTTGTTTTGCTCCTCAGCATGACTTCCTAAAAACGCTGCAGGATTTCTCAAACATGCATGAATGAGTCAAAGCAAGGCTTTGGGCATGTTTTTTATGAGAGTACAACATTATAACATGATATAAAACTCAAAAAAAGTTGATTTTACATGATATTGCCCCTTTAAATAAAACTTATAGTGTCTGATAGGTACATACAAAATAGGGCTTATTTGCAGGATAGAGCTTGAACCGGTCTGAATAGCATGGCAGGTGTTCATGAGCAGAGCTCTGACCAGAATCAGAACTGCTTTTAATGCAGTGGTGCCAGAGGGCGAGATCAAAGTGGTCAGATTTCCTTTTAGTACAAAGATTTCTCCAGAGTCTCAAACTCTTGATATTATGAGCTGTAGATGAGGGGATTTTAAAAGTTTACCCTCCGTTCCACTATTTTTGTGCAGTTTTACACAGATCAGAGAACCTGTCTCATCTTTACATCTGGGAGCTTCAGCTTCTCTGAAGGCCCAATCACACTAGACAACTTATGAAACATGTTTTATGTCTAAATTGCTAATAAAGTTATATATTTAATCAGTTTGTTCAAATTATATCATGTACACGCCAAAAATAAACTTCCTGTTGATTTTTTTCAATTCCATCTTCAATGGAGACGTCTTTAAAACGTTCATAAGTTGGTATAAGTTATGTAGTGTGACAGGACCTTAAAATACTTTTTATACTCAGACTTGTTGCCATTCTAAAGCATAATGCTTACTTTGTTTTGTGCCCCAGTCAGTTTCTAAATATTTTTAATAGATATTATTTTGTCTCCTAAATATTTTATACTGTATGTTCCATTGTCAATATGAGATTTGCAAATTGTTTTTTTATTTAGATTTAAGATACAGCAGGTAAAATATAAGTATTGAACACGTCACCATTTTTCTCAGTAAATATATTACTAGAGGTGCTAATGACATGAAATTTTCACCAGATGT